TCATGCCCCTATCGCGCCCTACCCCCTATCACCGAACTAGCCATCACCACGCCCCCTGCTGCCTGCGCCCTTTTGCTGCTGCAGCCGACTCCGCCTCCCTTTTCCTGCACCCCTCGAGCCTACAGCAGCCTACGCCCCCCCTCTGCGCCGCCTCTCTTCTGCAATCCCCTGCACCAGCCCGGCCCGTGCCTGCTCAAGAAACAAACAAAAAGGGGTAGGATTGGAATGCTAGAAAAAAGGGGATCTCTGCCATTTTGCTTGGGTATAAATAGAGGGTTTTAGGTTAGAAACGAGGGGGGGTCTCCTTTTTTTGGTGTGGTTTTGGGTGTTGACGTTGAAGGAGTCTTTTCATTTTTTGTGGTTCTGGTGTTGCCGGCGGAGGAAAGGAAGAGTTTTCTGTTGAAAGGGGGGGCTCGGTTTTGTATCCGGAGTTGACGGAGGGCTTGTTTGCTGTGTCTGCTTTGTTTAGGTAAATCTTTGAACAGAGGAGTTTTCTGGGAACGGTGGTGAAGGGGATGATGGGAGCCTGGTCCCGTGGGTGGGATCCCTCCCATCAGCTCTGGATCCATCTTACCCAAAAAGCTCTGCCGTGGGTGTTTTTCTTATTTTTGGTGAATATTTCTGCATCTTTTTGTTTAATGTTCAAGCTTGTACATGTTCCGTTTGAAATTGAATGAAAAATCAAAAAAAATTTGTTCAGTTCATTTGGTCTGATGAATGTGCTTTCCTTTTTGTTTTTCGTAGATGAATGTGATCTTTTTATGATGAATGTGTTCTTTCTTTTGAAAATGACGAACCGTAATTTTACTCTCTCTTTTTTTATGTTCGATCTGTTTTTGCCTGTTTTAGTTGATGGGTTGTGTTTTTATGGGTCGGGTTGACCCGACCCAACCTTAAAAAAAAAAAACTAAAAAAGGATAAAAAGGAAAAAAAATATATATATATATATATAAGTTTTTATTAATTAATTAGGTGAGTTAGTTTAATTTATGATTAATGAAGTTAATTAATTTTAATCAAAATAAATTAATCATATT